GAGCATTTCAAATTTTTGGGCGCGCGTAAACGCGCGGACGAACGCGCACGCGCGCATTTGCGCACGTTTACTGATCTGAAATTGACCGGACAGATATTGATCTTAATCATGATAAATATGAATGAAAAAATTCTTTCCGTTATGAAGATATGATTATAAGTTGATTTTCACAAAATGGCGCTTGGATGACGTCACGATGACGTTGAGTCTATGAAAAGTCACGCAGTTCTAAGTTAGACTAAGATCTATCATCATGGCAAGTTTCATGATAATGGCTTTTGCCATTCTTGAGATATCCTGCGAACAAAATTGAGGAAGAATAATAATAATTTCTTCTATACAGACACAAAATAAATACTAGACTTTAATTCGTCACTTTGACGAATTAGGTGATACGTGTGTAACATAATGAAGAACGCATTTTCACGATTTCATCTTTCTTTATTAAATACTACTTCCATTATGGTATATCCATTAGTCAAGTTTCAACTGTGTAGAACAGAGGGAGACAGAGCAATATAATAAGAAGAAGGCAAGGCAAGAGAAAGAGAGAGAGAGAGAGAGAGGGAGAGGATAAAAGCGTAGAGAGGGAAAGAGAGATAGAGAGTGAGAGAGAGATGCAGAGACAGACCAAGTAAAGGAGAGGGGCAGAACATGAGGGGAGAAGGGAAACACAGCAAGAGAGAGGAGAGAGAGAGAGATGCAATTGAGAACAATGCCTTCCATATTTCTAGCATAAATAAGCTCTTTTGAATACTGGTCATGAAAGTGTTGCCGATAATCAAAAAACGATTATGTTCATGAATACGATGATGACGATATTAAAATGATGACCATGATTGAAAGTGGCACAGCGCCCCCTTCATGTTTTCGATTGAGGATCGTTATATATGATAACTGTTAACTATTACCAGGGAGAGTGCCCTGCTATTACTAAACATTGCAGAGATATACTTATACCAATCATTGAAGTGATATTTCGACGCACTAAATACGCAACAATGACGTCAATAGAGCTGATTATGACTAATAAGGACTATATCTTAATTAAGTTTCATGCTGCTTATTGACCGTTCCGTATTGGAAAGAAAGATCTACCGTTTGAATAACGTTTTAACGCACTAAGGATGTGAATGCTTCCGTGTGCCATCTGTCAAGTCTTGAGATAACATGCAAATAAAGTTTTTAAGCCCTTTTTTTATCAATTAAACATGAACACAGTGATTTATTTAGTCCTGATTCAATATAAAATATGAGTAAGATATTTATATTTTACCCATCCATAAACCAACATCTATAAGATGTTAATTCTAGAAATGATTGTTAGTATGCATGGCAGTGAATGGCTAAACGATTGAAATTGCCTCAAATTTCCTTTGATTTGATTTGTATACATGTAATACACTAATAAATGAGACACTGGGATGATGCAGAGAGAAAGGGGGAGACTATACAGAAATAGAGAGGCAGATCGAGACAGAACAAGAGATAAAGAGGAAGGCAGCAAGGCATCTCACCCATCTCCTTTTTTCTCAATTCTCTTTTCCCTCTTTCTTCTTCTACTTTTACTTCTTCTAATAATTCCCCTTTTTTTACAGTTTGGATAAAACATAACCTTTTTCTTGTAGTAGCTATTACCTAGAGGAAAATATAAATGTGTACAATTTGTCATATAAGTATTCGCATAATAACTTCGCCTCTATCATTTGTAATTTGTATAATGTGTAATGCTTGAATATTGATATCGATACCTTAGGATAGTGTTACTATACCCTCTGTCTATCCTCTTACCATCTTACCATCAACTTTTCTTTTCTTTCTTTGCTTTACATCATCATCATGTTCTTCTTCACTTTGTGTATCTCCTTTTTATATCAAATGATTTCGGAAGATCAAAAATGAAATACAAATTTCGAAGTTGAATATTGTTTTTAACAATTTACTCATTCAGGTTCAATTCTTTAATTTCGATGTTATTTGATATGAATGTTTGAATATATTGTATTTTAAATTTGTAAAACATTTCCTAATTCATCCGTTTATGCCGCAATGCATTGTTGTTCTTTTATTTTTATTCTCAATCAAACCATCATCAATTAAACTCAATACTAGAACACTGCTAACGTTAAAATTTCACAAATAGGACATACGTGACATCATAATTACTGCAAAGTTCTACGGAATTTGCAAATTCGACTTTCAATTGAAAATTGTGACATGATACCATCATCTGACCGAAAAACTAAAAGCACCGTTTTTATAGCCCATGGTCTCAGCTATTACATACCCCAATTTGGGAGAAAACAGAGCACACGTAAGATAGATAGTGCTCATAGATGAATGCCATGTAGATTCATGACGTGAACGAAATTCACCTTCCATAGACATAACACGCAAATGACGAAAATTCTGACATGTGGCCTTTAATTGAATTTTGTACTATGATGACCTCATTAAAATGAAACTTAGTGGAAAGTGATCTTGTAGAGAATTGCCTTATCTACAACATATCGACATTTCAAAGAGAATCGATGAATATTGAGAGAAATACACTACATTTTCCATAAATACAATGACGTCATAATATGCAATTTTGTATTTTTGACTTCCAAGGCCATTATGATGACGTTAAGATGTACTTAATGGCCAAATGAGATATGAAATCATACCTCCGACTCATACTCTATCTAAATATGAAGAAAAAAATTGGCAATCCCTATTCATCCCAATGGACTTTTTATAGGCATGTTTTTGCCCATATATGCAATGTATTACAAAAATTGCGCGTACGGACGGTTATCTTGAACGGACGCTCATTCCGTTTTTAATAGTGATAAAGAGCTAAACATGGTATCAAATTTTTCGGAAAAATATGAGGAATATTCGGTCAGAAGCTTTTGCGGAGAAATTATTTTTCGTTCGGCCGTGACGAACGAAAACGTGCAAAAATGCGTGTTTTGCGTGATTTTTTTATGAAATGCTTATAATGGCCTGAAACGTATGCAAAAAAAATTTAAGACGATTTTGAGCAATTTTAAATTTTACGCGCGCATTAACGCGCGCGCCTACGCGTACGCGCATTTTTGCGCGCATTTATTGACCTCAAATTGACCCGACGGATATTGATCTTATTCATGATAAATATGAATGAAAAAATACTTTCCGTTATGAAGATATGATCAAAAGTTGATTTTCACAAAATGGCGCCTGGATGACGTCACGATGATTTTGAGTCTTTGAAAAGTCACGCAGTTCTAAGTTAGACTAAGATCTATCATCATTGAAAGTTTCATGACAATGGCTTTATTCAATCTTGAGATATCCTGCGAACAAAATCGAGGAAGAATACTAGGAATAAAAATCTTGACGAAATCAATAGGTGATACGTAGACTTCGTTACGTATCACCTAATTAAATCTACGTGAAGAGCACCTCATACTGTTATGAGTAGGCATACTCGAAGTTTTTAAAAAAGTTGTTTTCCAAGTTTATCAACAGTTGGTATTTTAGAAGCATTTTAGAAGCAATCTCCTTTACAATGCACGAAACATTGCTACAAAAGATGATTATCTCCCGCATTGGGAAGAAAGATTCAAAGCGTGATATTAAAAATAAAACCTTTACCAGAATTCAATTCTATCTAAATCTAATTGTCGAGGTCGCCCTTGAAGCCTTTATCAAGCACAGTACGTTACAAAAATCATCACTATCCTGCAGAAATGCTTTATCTCGCTACATTCTATTTTGCAACAAATATGAATTCATTTTCAGGTCAAGCGCGAAAGGTCATCTCTTGCTGATATTTTGATTTGATATAATTCTATATCAAGGATCTATCTCGCATGGATGATGTCATGCGGTGAGCATGTTGTTCTTACACTACCCGAAACACTCTTCTTCTCATCACATGCGACACAATGTCTTTACAAATAAATTAAAGTGTAAAAGATTATTACCAAGGATCTATTTAGCATGGATGATATTCATGCGGTGAACATTTTCTTCTATTATACCCCAAAATACTCAACTTCTCATCAAAGGTAACATAACATATTCATAATCCTGAATGAATCAAAGCGGAAATAACAAAACCCGGACACATTTAAAGGGAAATCCCACCTTAATAGTAAATAACACTAAAAAAGGCATAACAATATAAAAAACAAACTAGTTACAGTTTGAACGAAAAGAAAGAAGAAGTTATGATAACAAAATAAGTTTTGATCACTATACGTGTGGGAACTTTAAATTAGCTGAATCAATGATGTCCCTGTGATGTTATGCCTGACAATTTTCCCATTTTTCCAACACATAACACAACTCATATATCTTTAAAACAAAAGTGTATGGGGTATTTTCTTTTTAGAGGACCTATCATATTACACTATTCATTTTTCTCTTTAGTGCCCGAAGGAAGAAGGCACTTTGGAGAAGAACGGTAATTAATTATATTTTTATACACGACATACGGGAGATCTGTCCATAACTTCGTCACAATCCACTGAGGAAAAAAAAAGCCAATTTGAGAGCCGAATAGCTGTAGTGATCTCATATTTCAAACGAAATCATAATTTTCTCATTATTGGCCCGATTTACTTCAAAATTTCGTCAATTTTCCCTCTAATTTAGTTTCCTTTCATACAAATAGGCTAATTACGAGGTCGGATTTGCTTATTGTTGCGAAGATGCTTTAAGTAGGCAAACAAATTCAAAAAGCATGTGTTTTCTTTCAAAATAACAAAATACCTTAAAAGGGCTGTTGGACTGCTGTAAAATTTCTTTAACGTATGTTTTTTCTTCTTGTTCCTGTTCTTCTTCTTCTTAGCAATTGAATAGAATGACCGGAGTAATACTAATTACAGTCTAAAGTGCTTAGATAAGTATCATTAAAATTATTTTTTATCATTATTATTATCATCATAATCATTATCATATGTATTACTATTATTATTCTTATTCTCGATGTTCCAATCAGGAATGGTAAAAAGACCTCCTCTTACCCTTCTCTTTTGTACCTTCTCGTAGAATGTGTGATAGTTTTCTTTCATGTTGCTTCATCAAACCATTGTTGTTTTCGTCACGTTCCTCCTTGTCATCTAAATCCCTCACAAGATCTAAATCCTTCTTAGTATCCCATTTTCTCTGCAGCTCAGTGAACACCTCCATCGCTCCGTGCTCTAATCCCGGCGTCTCATCGGCAGAGATTTTGAGCTCGGTTGCCTTGTTAGCAGCTGGCGGAAGAGACTCATCTTTACGATTGATATAATGAACACCAATTATAACCATCAGCTGAGCTGGCAGGAATATGAACACAAAAAATGAGCAAATTCGGCGTAACCTGAATCTCATGATGGTAGAGTATACTATCCGCCTCTTGGAAACTTCTTGAAATGAAGTGGTCACTGTGAACTAGAATTCAGCCTCGTATAAATTATAGCGATTCTCGGTTGATTCTCGCTGTACGAACGAACACGCATGTCGTCTGCTCCGGGTGCACCGCTTCTCTATGAGATTGTGAGAGTGGGTGGGCGTGGTTGAGCAACTATATTATACAAATAATACACAGCAGTGAGGGCATTAGTAAGAATTACCCACAACAAGGTATCTTTGAAACAGTCTAAACACGCCCGAGGCGAAAGCCGAGGGTGTCTGGATTGTTTCGAAGGTACTGAGTGTGGGTAATTTTACTAATGCCCTAAACATAATTTGTATTATTTGTTTTATAAGATGATGTTTTATTTGTTTTACAAAATGATGTTTTACAACATGATTTTACTAATGACCGGTCATTAGTAATTACGTGTTAGGCAACATAAATGCTTGGTCACGTGTACGCTCTCAACCAATCATTTCATTAGGATCCGTTTCATCATCTTATAAACATATATAATATCTTCACAGTTTTCTATGGGCAACAGCTTCAAAGCTTGTTCAAATTACGTTCAATGTATCAAGTTTTTAAAGAAATTTAAGAAAATTCTGCCTGAATGTGTTGCTGAGGTCGCCTACTTCTGTACACTATAACGTCAGATCGCTATACATATCAATAAACCATAACACAATTTGCATAATGCGGTATATTCCTTTTTTTCTAAATGAAAATTGTGAAATTTCAGTTCCAACTTCATGGGAAAATGAAATGGGATTTAAATGGTATCAGTATCTTACTTGACCTATAAACAGATTTGCAGTATTGCATGTTAACTCCTGCCACATAATAAGTTCACAGTGAAACACTGATTCATAACATTCCCTCTAATAGTGCGAACCCTCGACTATTAAGAATATAATAATTTAAAATTAATCGAACATTAAATATTTATTTTCTACGAGGTTTTGTCTGAAAAGCAACTAAAAAAAAGAAACATATGATCTTTCAAATAGGAATACGGATTTGGTTAGTATGTGTGTTGGTTTGTTTTACCTGACTACTAAGAAATCATGGGTGCGCTTGTAAGTGAGCAACCAGGAAATCGACGGTTTTAAGTCCTCTCCGAGAGACTTGGTAATGCGGATTAAGGCCTTATCAAGGGGCACTTGCTCATCGGCTTGGTTGCGAACCCGGGACCTCATCCCAGTTACGAAACCACTGTTCTACCACCGAGTCATCGCGTTAATTGAAGGTTTCGTCACCATATTCACAGACTTTCAGATCACGAAAAACCGATGATTCCTATTTCAAAATTATAGACATGTCTAATCACCTATACTTGGAAAGAGGAATAAAATCGACCCTCGAACTTATTTCAAGTCTGAAATAAACTTAATTCCTAAATACTATTATACCACAATGTATCATTAGGAGACTTGTATTGACATTGTCAGGCGTATTATAAAACGGATTTGGTCTAATTACTGTACTTGAATGACAAGATTTATATTTCATCTGATAAACACCCGCTGGCGATGAGAAATTGGCACTTTAGGCTCATTGTTGATCACTAGACTACATCGTATTTAACAATAAAGTGTTTAACTCCTGAAAGCTTTAATTCATCTCAACAGCATTAGCTAGAGTGCAACTCTTTGTCAATAATAGCTACGTTTAAACTCCTGACGGCTTAATATAGTGTTAATGCACTTTATGAATGGACGCGTTATTGTAAGCAACCATTGTGACATTTTATCGTGAGAAGATGGGATACTATAGGACACATGTATTGATATTACACCCCTGGATATCATCATAGAATAAACTGCTGATAAAGTAATATTGGATATGAATAGCGCTCATATCCATTCTACACTCAAGGTGCCTAGGCAATCAAGGTGCTCCAATATCAGCCAAACTCTATAGAGTACCAAAGCTGTGACATCATACAAATCTATTTTTTTAGAATTTCTTATTTTTTTCTTCATTTTCCTTTAGGAGCCAGAGCGAATAACACTGAGTTACCAAGGGGAATATACTTATTCAGATGGTCATAGCTCAGCCAATACTTAACATATTCAATTGGTTTTCGACATGTGGACACTATTTTTTATGCTCTTTCGGGTAATGAAGACAAAATTGAGAAATTCTAAAAATATATTTTTTTTATGACGTCACACTTCAACACTCTATAGGTAGGGCCTATAATTATATAGGCTACCTACAGCATGCCGGGAATGCTTTCCAACCAGTACCCATTTAATACATGGGTGGAGAGTTGCAAATTTGAATTAAATGGTAACCCAGCCGTTGAAATATTGTATGAAAGCAGAACGTGAAAGTTTGACCCCTAACACTAACCCTACAAATGTGAGATCCCTAAATCTGTGCGAATATCTCAAACTGGCAACTTCGGCAATGGATTGTGACGTAGTCACAGACCACTCTCCTCTTTGTCGTGTATAAAAATATCCTGGGCCCTGCACACAAATATACTATAGATAGCATATTATTAAAGGTCCTTTTAGAAAAGGAAAAACCTTCCTGGATCATACAATTTGAAGAAGAAAAACAAAATCATTTTAGTAATTGTTTGTGTTGAAATTAAGCGGAAAGTTATCCGGCAATACGTCACAGTGACATTACTGATTCAGCCAATTTAAATTAAGAAAAACAAAACATAGGAGACTGAAAGTAACATTTATTCTTCTTATCATAAAGAGAAGAAGTAATTTTCGATTTACAAAAGCTCTCACATATCAACGACACAGTACGCGAGAGGAAATCCACTGCTCTACGCTCTGTCCATTCCGTAGAGGGCGTTCGGCTTGAAAGAAAGTACTACGTCATTACCTCGGAGATAGCACTTGTACAAATGACCCCCAAATACCCACGGATCTTTTACACATGGAGACGTCCATCACGCTTTGATCATTTCAGACTACTCACTGCCAATGTTACGGAGGTGCTTTATTAATAACCTTTGTTTGCCCTTTTGAAAACAATACTTTTACCTGTGTATCATAGAATGTACCGCCGGTGCATATATGAATCATGATTATATTACTTCCGTGAATACATATCCAGCAGTCGTCTCGATGTGTTTTACAGTTTTGTACACATTACCTTTATCTGCTCATGCATAGATACAGTCTCCGAAGTGGCTATAAAATTGTATTAGTACGAAGTATACACCTGGCTATTAACAGTCGTATTAAAACATATCCTAGCTCATGATGTTCAACAGCAAATTAGAGTCATTGCATTTATTTTATTATTTTGTTGTGTGCTCGCCCAACAAAGCAATAATAGTCATTGCGCCCAACTGGGACCGGGTTGCCCAAACTCTCCTAATCAATGGCACTGTTTCAGATTATTATGAGCGCCCTCTTTTGTCATCATAATCTTTCTTAGCCTTTAAATAGGAGACCTTATGCAACCGAGTAAACCTTGAGCGCTGCAAAGTAGCACTTACTAACATTGATATGATGTCATAGACCTTCATCATCTACTACAGGTATTCCAGAATGATTTAAATTACTTAACAAGACAATTTTATCCTTTGTTCATACTTTATGAGAGCACAAAAATAAAGGAAACAGAATGGCGAAAGTTCGAAATGAATCGGACCAATAAAGAAGGTTATGAATATTTGGAGTTTGAGATCACCAAGTCTATGACATCTCTCCAGTTTGCCGTGTACAAACTATCATTAATCTTCTCCATGCCCTCTCCATTGGGGCACCACTCACAATATGTTATCGATTATATACTGAGTCAAACAATTTGAAAAAAAGAAAATGTAGTACTTTTGTGTGTTGAACAACATTTAAATTACAGATTCAGACATTTTGAAGTTCATAAACGTTCTAGTTATTCTTACTTTCAAAAATATATAACCCCTTTCCCCCGATTTTTGTTCAAACATTTACCAGTCTGCAGTTTAAGATTTGTCTGCTTTATTTTCGAGTATGTTGCTATAAAGGTTGTATTTTCCTTTTAAATAAAAACATTGATCAAAATAAAATTTTGGTCATGACTTCCAAAACAAATTTAGATGTGGGTATAGTAAAAGTAAAGTTCATCTATTGGGTATGTATAAAGCGCATGGCAAGGATTTTTGTTTTAAGTGCGTAACATGGTAACTGATGTATTGCATGTCTCACCTATTAAAGGGGAACTTCTAACCCTAAGAAAAAGATTAACATTGAATAAAATGTATCGATAAACGACCCCCCAACAAAAACAAAAAAAAACAAAAAAAAAACAAAAAAAAAACACACACAACACAACAACAATATTTCTTGTTCGGATATTTTTTTTCGCTGATTAAATGAAATAAAGAGGGTGCATTTATCAATAAGGCTTGGGCTAATCTATAATCAGGAACAGAAGGGGATTTCTGCGACTTATTAAAAAACAAAAATTTGATAGGCCTAAATATTTTCCTTGACAATACTTAATAAAAATAATTTAACAAATAAAAAAACTTTATTTTTATGGTAGCTTTCTCGTATTATACCTAAGAATCGTCTCCGTAATTCATAAAATGTTTAGGTTTCTATTTCTATTTCGCCTGTAATATTTGTAATATAGTGCGGTGACTCGCTTTTTGTAGGTCCTATTTTTATCATGTTAACAATTCATACATGTCGTTCTTCTTCACCACCTCAAAATATTTATTATCATCCCAGCATCAAAAATGTATTGATTTCTGATTGGTTGAGGTCTTGTCACATGACCAGAAATATTTTAATTATTTTAAGGTTGCTCTGAAAAAGTACTATTTGGGAGTAGGTCACTATTAAGGAGTACTATTTGGGAGTTGAATTTCTTTGATTTATTTTTTCTTCTTCAAATCTTTATTTGTTAATTTGTTTTTTATTTGTAATTTTTTTTAATACAAATTGTTTTTGTTGTTGAAAATAATATGTTGATGCAGGATATAAAACAAATATCATGCCCTCTTTTCGCGGTAATGGTTAAAACTATGGGCCTCGGTGACTCAAAGAGTACTATTGGAGTTACCTCTTGCGCATAGTTTTAACCAGAACC